AAACCCGTTAAGTCTTCATCCACAAATCCGGAAAACCAAAAAAGTTCCAATGTCATGTCCACGACAGCCACCTAGCGGAGTAGCATTTTAAAAACGCATTTTTATTTCCGCCATTTGGGACCGTATTGCCTGCCGTACTGAAAGCGTCCGTAGCAGCTAGAGGGATGTTAACAACGGGAATGCATTCATTTGACATCTGAACTGATATTTCAGAGCAGCGAGGGTGGTTTGGTGGGATTTAAATGTTTTCCAGGGTGTTAATGGTGTGGACATGACCTCAAACAACCCAGCTGTTTTTCTTCTCATGGTTAATGGGCAAATCGAAGCAGCCGATGTAAGTTAAGATTGATTTTTAGAAGATGTGTTTAATGTAGTAAACGGTGTGCAAAGCCTGTTATTAAAGTGGGTTAATAGGATAACTCACATGTCGTATTTTGCCTAAAGTTCCCAGAATATGATGATCTTTACTGCAAGTATTGCTTTGTTTATGGACACGATTGAGCGCCCGCATCAGTGAGTGAAATCAACCTGCTTCACTTCCTTTTGTGTGTATATATATATATATATATATATATATATATATATATATATATATATATATATATATATATATTATATATATATATATATATATATATATATATATATATATATATATAATATGCAACGTGAATAGTAATATAATATTAATAGTATCTTTATCATTATTAAAGTTTGGGAGACGTGATATATAGGCTATAAGCTTTTGTATTGTCATATATTCCACAGTAGTAGTAAGTTTGTATCTTTTCCCCACAAGCTGAATTCTCAAATAACTTCTAAAGGTAGAGGATCTCAGAGTTTGGTGTGGAACTTCCCACTGGACATCACCTTCAAAAGCACCAGCCCATTTGACTAAGTGAACCACGTTTGATCAGTCAGAATCCATTGTATGGAGCTTCTGTGGGTCTTAAAGGCAACAAATGGTTTTAATTCACCCTTCCACAGTTTAAGGCCTTAAAAGTGTCTTTAAAAAGAGCAGAACATCTTAAATTCCTGAAGTTAAGGAATTAAATAATGCCTTTAGCACTGCAAAATGTAGTTTTTTTTTACCAATATACATATTTAATCGTCCTTAAATCAAAATACATTTATTTGAGATGCAAAATAAAGAGATATGAAGTCTTATTTTGTGAGAAATTGAACAAAGGGAATTGAGTTTATGATTTAACAAGAGCAAATGTCTGTCAATGGAAGATGAAAATTTGTTCTCCCTTTTAAGGAAGTTGTTTCTGAGTCCACTAGCCGATATTTGTTCTTGTTTTAAACCGTAATCTCGGTTCACAAGACTTCTTATCCTATGACATTTAGATTTTTAGAATCTTCAGACACTTAGCATTGGACAACAAGAGAGAAATACCCCGGAATAACATCAAAAACATTTTTGTAGCATGATCAGACGTTATTTCCATATTCTAGTGGCCAGGAGAAGAGCTATTCAAGCCAATTTTTGTCAAATGAATTGAGTAATGGAGATCTGCTGAAAGTTGTATTTTCAAGCTTTGACGTTTTGCTAAAACAACTTCTTGTGTGCTTCCTGGACATTTACATTCAGAGAACACTGACATACTGTGTTCCCTTCAATTTATTCCTTAAATTCATTTACTTGGTCTTAAAAAGGTAGCACAAACGTCTTAAATTTACCTTCATAAAACCTGCAGGAACCCTGATCTGATGAAGGATATATTATTCTGAAGATTGTAATGCAGCTTAATTATGTGCCCACTATTTCTAAGTATCCATCTATCTTTTTTTTTTTTCTTTCTTCAGGGCCCCAGATTGTGGTCAGTGTGTATGGCCCTGACACTTTTGGAAATGATGTTGCGAGAGGTTATGGAGCCATACACATCCCGTTTACACCTGGAAAGTGAGTTACTCGAAGTTTGTGTTGTCATAATACAAGCTTAACATCTGTGTAAAATGCAGAATTACATGTGAATGCTCTCTGTCCAGACACACCAAGCCCATTCCTATGTTCGTTCCTGAGTCTACATCAAGACTTCAGACGTTCACAAGGTTGTAACTAATTTCTCATAATTAATCCAATGTTACCTCATTCATTTGCATTCACATGTAGACACACAGTACGGCAGAATATTAAAGTTACCCAATTTATAATGCAGCAGCTTTGGGTTATGATCTGAATTGAATTTGCTGTTGCCCTTCCCTCTTGTTCTCAAGACTTAACTTGAACTACGTTTCAGTTAAATGTGCAACTTGTATGAACCTTTCAAATAAGACGGTACACTGTAACTTAAGAACATTTATTTTCATCAGACTCTATCCCCCGGTTTCACAGATGAGGCTTAAGCTAGTCCCAGACTAAAATACATGCTTGAGCTGTCTCAACTGAAAGTATCTAGCTCTGACATATCTTAAAATATGTCAGTGTCATGATGCAAACCTGTAATGTTTTCTTCTAAGGCATTTTTGTAAAAGTTGCTTAAATATCTTAATTTAACCAAGGCCTAGTCCTGGCTTAAGCTAAGCCTCGTTTGTGGAACCGGGCCTATATCTAACATGTTATATCTTGTACGCAGCTGGCTGATGGGAAGGCGTCCAGAATTCACAGATCCCAAGGTTGTTGCCCAAGGAGAGGGAAGAGATGGTAAACTTTTATTTAACCCTCGACTCAAAATTAAATAAGACATTTCAGTGGATGTTTATCACCTCAAGCCAAGGTGTAGGTCCTCAGAAATTGTTCTTCTGCAATCAAGTGTATTTGCAAGCCATAGCGGATGCAATTTTGTGTTTGCAGTTACGAGGGTGCGCTCACAAGGTTTTGTTACACTACAGTTCAACATTGTGACTAAAGACATGAAGAAACTGGGTTATGAAACTACATCAGAGCATTCAGCTGCTACAGGACTGACAAGAACATCTCAAAAGCTCTAATAACCACTTTCAGGATATTTTTGTAATCTTAGTCCGTTTTCAAGTCGCTTTCATTGTCACTTACATTAGCTATACAAATGTGATATTGCTTTATCAGCTTTGTATGTTTTTAAATAAACTGATCTTGTGCATTTATAGAAATTCATTTGCCTGTAATGTTTTCTTCTAAGGCATTTTTGTAAAAGTTGCTTAAATATCTTAATTTAACCAAGGCCTAGTCCTGGCTTAAGCTAAGCCTCGTTTGTGGAACCGGGCCTATATCTAACATGTTATATCTTGTACCCAGCTGGCTGATGGGAAGGCGTCCAGAATTCACAGATCCCAAGGTTGTTGCCCAAGGAGAGGGAAGAGATGGTAAACTTTTTTATTTAACCCTCGACTCAAAATTAAATAAGACATTTCAGTGGATGTTTATCACCTCAAGCCAAGGTGTAGGTCCTCAGAAATTGTTCTTCTGCAATCAAGTGTATTTGCAAGCCATAGCGGATGCAATTTTGTGTTTGCAGTTATGAGGGTGCGCTCACAAGGTTTTGTTACACTACAGTTCAACATTGTGACTAAAGACATGAAGAAACTGGGTTATGAAACTACATCAGAGCATTCAGCTGCTACAGGACTGACAAGAACATCTCAAAAGCTCTAATAACCACTTTCAGGATATTTTTGTAATCTTAGTCCGTTTTCAAGTCGCTTTCATAGTCACTTACATTAGCTATACAAATGTGATATTGCTTTATCAGCTTTGTGTTTTTAAATAAACTGATCTTGTGCATTTATAGAAATTAATTTGATTAATATTTGATTTGCATAATTTGAATTACGATTTTAATCTGCAAATTCCATCTTTGCCTATTTTAAACCTAGACACAACTATGATTAACCTTTGCCCAGGGTTTTTATATTGAACTAAAACTACAAAAACTTGTAGCAGTTAACTGAAATAAACGACTGATATGAAATGTTAAAAAAAAGTAAGCTTGTTTTATTTCAGCTAATTGCCATGGCAACATTTTTCACTTTAACTTGATACTAAAATAAAATGAAAAACTTTACAATTAAAAACAGAAAATAAAAAATAAAATTGAATTCAAAATATTAATATAAATCTAGGGCTGCAAAACGATTAAATCGCATTCGAAATAAAAGTTGATGTTTGCATACTGTGTATATTTATTATATATGTGTGTGTGTGTATATATATAAACATAAACATACATATACACACACACACATGTATATATTAAGGAAAAATATTAGGTACAATATTTATATATAATATAAATTATATACAAGTATAAATATATATATACACAAATATATATATATTTTTAAATACACACATTTGTAATATATATATATATATATATATATAAATATACACAGTACACACATAGTATGTGAACAAACTTATTTTGAATGAGATTCAGGATTAATCGTTTTGCAGCCCTAATAAAAACTACAACAGTATATTAATGTTGCTGAAATAACACTGGCTCTGGTGCCACAATAAGCTGTGATGTCGGTGTTTACTGACAGCATGAATAGGACAGATCAAAAGTCATTGATACAATTTATTTGTTTTACCACTGCAGCTACAGGTCCTTAATCAATCAATACCAACATATCAATGCATACAAACAGGTTGTGCAACATTACAACCACGCACATGCGTTGTTTACGTGCAGAGGTACTCTCGATAATGGCAGAAGACGTGATTTGGAGGAGAATTGTTGAGTGAAGTCGTTATTTTTGTTTTCTTTGTGCACAAAAAGTATTCTCTTAGCTTCATAAAATTGCGGTTGAACCCCTGATGTCACATGGACTATTTTATCAATGTCCTTACTACCTTTCTGGGTCTGGGAACATTTCAGCTGCATTGCTGTCTATGGAGGGTCAGAAAGCTCTCGGATTTCATCAAAAATATCTTCATTTGTGTTCCGAAGATGAACAAAGGTCTTAAGGGTTTGGAACAGCATGAGGGTGAGTAATTAATGACAGAATTTTCATTTTTGGGTGAACTATCCCTTTAAAATGATAAATGACCTTGCATTTTATAAAACTGAATTTCAAGACCCCTGTAAATGTTCAAGTGATCTCCTAGAAATATGTAATTGGTTAAGGTTACCTCCAGCGAGGAAGGGGTTGGAGACTGGAGCCTGCTGGGGAAGTTTGGTGACCAGAGAGTCTAGGTTGACAAGCGCGGCATTGGGACCCAGGAAAGACTCTGGAGTTTTTCTGGTTGGGCCACTCGGTACATCAAACAGATCAGAGCCTACAGACAAACTGGTCTGCGATGGCAAGGCAGAGCTTCCTCTACCATCACCTGTAAAATAAACATCACATCCTCATGTCATTCCCAAACAACAGACGGCACTTCTTTTAACTAGTAAACTGTAGTAGTCAGCTTTTACCTGTCACTGCTGAGTAGCGAAGACTGTCAAACTCAGAGAGGTCCTCCCTGGAAGTACCATTTGGTGTGGAGAAAAGATCAAAGCTACCCACTGAGGGATGACAGTTGGGATTAAAATTGAAGTAAGCTTTTAATTTTTAATATTCAAGAATGTAAAATAAGAGAACAGTCTTATTTCTCAATGTAACAAATACATTTTAACGTGAACTTCAGTTTTCAGAGCTCACCTGTGGCAGGGGCTTTGGGGCGGGTGGCAGGCATTGAGCTCCAGGGATCAGCAGCTGCAGGACCTGGGGTCGACCCCCAGGGGTCACTGCTTTCCAGAGGAGCAACTGAGGAAGAGGTACTGGGAAGACCCCAGGGATCCACAGGAGCAGCTGGCTTAGGGGCTGCACCTGGAAGATACACACAGATGTGTTAAGTAACACCATAGGTAACACTACAATGAAAAACCACTGCCACTCCCCTTACTCCGACTCTTATCAATACCTGAAAAATGCTTTTTTTAGAGCTAAGTTTTTAAAAACAAAATCAAACCCTAATGAGTTGCAATATAATGGAAGTAGCAGCAGATCTATTCTTCCATAATGTGAAAGCCAAATGAAACTGATTGAAAAAAAGAGAAAAAAAACAGTGCCTGAACATGTTTCTTTCTATCCATTGGTTGTTGACTGAATGGAAGCAGATCTGAATGAGAGCCTTAGGCTACGTTTACACTGCAAGTCTTAATGCACAGATCCGATCTTTTGACCATATCCGATTTTTTGGCACGTCTGTTTACATTCACTTTAGACACGACTGGTATCCGATATCTGTGTTTACATTAATTCCCACCCAAAAGGATTGTCTGCAGTGATCGCTTTACTATGCACATGGTAGACCCTCGGGTTTTAAATGGCCGTGCTTTTAAAATTATTTATATAATTCACGTCGAATGGCCATTATTATTTGCCAGCATGGACAACGGCTGTCATGGATGTTTTGCAGCACAAAATCTGACTGAACAGCTAAAGACCGGAAAATAACGGTAATTTTAATTTGTTAGACTAATTTATCTACAGCTCGTTAGAGGTAGAATTATTTAGTGAAATAAAGATGATATTTATTGAAATGAATTCGAATTAAGGAGAGAGAGAGAGAACGAACGAACGAACGAATGCATGCACCCACGTGCGAGCGATTGTGAAGCATTGCAAACAAGCTTGTCGGTTTAATTACAAAAACTGCTAAGTTATCACCTCATTGCTGAGAAATATGTAGCTTTTAGCTGTAATATTTTAAAAATTCACGGGGCGGGGGTTGAAAACCAGGTCCTGAATGTGCAATTTCTTACCTATAAAAAGTTTCCATCTTAATAAAATGCGAGCACATACAGCACGCCGGCATTAAAACGCCATTAAAAATCTTTATGAGCAAACGTGTCGCCCTCACATTGGGAGTTCTGTGGAGAATCGGATGTGTGTGTTTAGACGTAGGTCGGACGTCCAGATATCAGACGTGTATCCGATTAAAATCCACATTTGGAAGTGGCTCAGATTGGATGAAAAAAAAATTTGATCTCATGCGGGTTTTTGTGTTTACACGTGCGCAACAAATTCCGATCTGTGTCAGATGTGAGCGAAAGATCAGACTTTTTGTGCCAGTGTAAACGCAGCCTTAGTCTGCCATGACAAGATGGAGTTATGACATTTTGATTTAAAATGACAATGTTATAAAAATAAAAAAATGCACAGATGAATCACTCACAAGATGCATTGAACTAGACAATTTTAAGCACAACACAATTAAGAGCATACTGATATAAATGAGAAGGCCACAGAATTATGGTAAGGAGCATGACATTTCCTGACCAGGCGCCGAGTGGAGCCAATCACAACACACACAGGGCCAGCTAACCAATCACAACACACACAGGGCCAGCTAACCAATCACAGCACACACTGGCCCAGCTAACCAATCACAACACACACAGGGCCAGCTAACCAATCACAGCACACGCTGGGCCAGTGTGTTGGCCCAGCTAACCAATCACAGCACACACTGGCCCAGCTAACCAATCACAGCACATTTCGTATTTCAGAAGGCGGGCCTTCATTTGATACAGGAACTATTCGAGCCGTTCAGACTGGGGAGAGAGGTGTTGTAATGTAAAATATGTGAAAAATGTGTTTTTCGAACAACCTAGTATGAGAGCCTGTTCTAGTACACCTCCAAAACAAAATCAAGACTTTGTAAAAGAGCATAATAGAACCCATTTAATATTTAACTTCCTTAGAACAGAAACCAAACGGATTAAACCTGTACAAACTACAATATGACAGGAACTCAGGAAGAGAAAAAGAACTATTTGGAGACCACACTCAAATTCTTTAAAAAGTTTAAAGGGGTCATATGACGTTGCTAAAAATAACATTAGTTTGTGTATTTGGTGTAATGAAATGTGTTTATGCGGTTTAAGGTAAAAAAAAAAACACATTTTCCACATACTAGACATTATTGTTTCTCCTCTATGCCCCGCCTTTCTGAAACGCGTTGATTTTTACAAAGCTCATCGGTCTGAAAAGCGAGGTGTGCTCTGATTGGCCAGCTATCCAGCGCATTGTGATTACGCCCCTTACCATATTGTGATGATGCCCTGTCCCTGTGGTTGAAATGTTCTGGAACAGTGTTGTAAATACAACTTAACCACTGATTTCTAGTTGTGTCCTCTTTTGGAAGACCAAACAAAGTAGTTTTGCTTTCACAACGAAACACAGCGTCACACACGGAGGCCTAGAGTGAACGGCGGCCGGCGGATTCGACGAAGGAGCGGCCTGCGGGCTTGCGGCAACCACATGTGACAACCCCGGGCTGGACTCCGCGTCGTCCACGGTGAAAGCCGATCCGGCGATCCACAGCGCGAAGTTGATGTATTTCTTCAGCGACCAGCACGGATCAGCTCTAGGCATGACGAAGCGGATATCGTCCTCTTTTGGAAGGCCAAACAAAGTAGTTTCACTTTCACAACGAAGCACACAGTGCCTTCACGACATGGCGGCGGCAACAACAATACTACAGCGAGAATAAAAGTTACGCCTTCTTTCTTTGCGTGAACATTTGGGCGGTGTTATGCAAATCTTCCCACATCGTGACGTAGACATGTGGGGCCGTGTTAGAACGAGCCGTTTTAGGTAGGCGTGGTTGACTCTTAACTTTTATAAAGATTATCTCTTTGGATTTGAGACTTTAGTCTTTGCAACTTTACAGATCTTCTTTATGCACCAAGAGCTTGTAACACTTCAAAGAGAAAGGAAAAATTGAAATCGCATCATATGACCCCTTTAAGATGAATCACATATACCACAAAAATATGAGATCAATCCATTATTTTAAATCTACTGGCAATCCTAAAATTATATTAAAAACAGTAGCAACAACAACAGAAATTCTATTTTACAAATGAGTGTGACAGGCAAGTACAAGTAAAATGGGAATAAAGGTTATTGAATATACAGTGAAACTTGTGTTCGAATTGGCAGTATTTACTGTTTCCACTTCAAGAGGACATGCACACTTGCCTCAGTGCTTCTGACTTTAGTCCGGCTTAAACTTAAAAGAACTAGGCTGTTGGAAGAGGAACCCTTTACAGGCTCAGCGCTCTCTCAACCAGTGCAGATCTGAATACTGAGTCTCTTTGTTTTGTTCACACTGGAATGCACAACTACCAGCCTAACTACATTACTGAGCTGCCACGAAGAGCTACAGGCCCAAACGACATTATGAAATAGAGCCTGAGGGGGAAGGGGGGGCTCTAAAAGAAAAGTGGGCTTTTGGTAAACAGGTGGTCCTCACATTCTGACCAATAATTTTTTTTTATTTGATCAAATTTGATTCAAATCTGCCTTAAATTGTAACAATAAAGCTAGTATCTATTATGCAAATGGTCCTGGTGAGATAAGTGCTCTTCTTTTTTTTTTTTTAGTACAAAGACTAATGTGATCAGCACAGCAGGAAGCTGATACAAACTGTTGTCAATGTGCTATTATTAGCCACAGCCAAATGTGATCTTGTATGTGAAGGGTGTTTACTTGAGAAACTAGCTAGTGTTTGTGTGTCTGCCTTCAAGATAATAAAACTAAAAATAGTGTCTGTTTTTAGATATATATTCCTCATCCAATTTGACAGAATTTATTAAACATCACAATATTTGTTTTCTCCAAAATGGTTTAAAAGGGTGATTTTTTTTCCTCCTGACGAATCATTCAATCCATTTCACTGCTGCCAAGCAGATGTTTAAATGTAAAAATTAATTAACACAAGACCAAGACGGACAAGTCTATCGACACACTACATAATTGCCAACCAAAAGTGCTTTATAACCATCGTGATATTTACAATTTAACTGATACTGTTAAACCCAAGTTTGTGTGTGTCTGTTTACCATAGGACTGCCAGGGGTCTGAGGCGGGGCCTGCTGCTGCAGCTCCTGCTCCCCAAGGGTCCGATGTTTGATCGGCAGGGCCCTTGGGAACCGTGTCCATCAAATTCATCAGAGAAGACTGTGGAGGCTACACACACACACACACACAACATATGAGATTAGCGCCCAAAGATATATCTCACCATCCAAAGCAATCACATCAGCTTTAGTGAATAAGAACTTGGAAGCTGATCTGAACATAAATACTTACATTATGAGTAAACAAGTCCGCAAGCAAAGAAAGGGAAAAAGTACATTGACGAGATTAATGAAATGGCTTTAGTGGTGACATTATTTAGCTTATAGTAGTATAAACACAAAAACTGGTAGTATAGTTTAGGATTACACAGTAATCAGAATTTAGGTAACTGAACATTTTCAGGTAATATACATTTGGAAAGTTGACGTACTGTGGAGTGACAGCTTATACCCCATCTAAAAACATTTTTAAAAGAATTGCCAATTTGGAATTGCTTTTATGAGCTCAATAATTGAGACTACATGGAATATTTGAACTTAATATATTTGTCACACCACATGACCATCTGATAAAAACTAATTGCAAAAAATAAAGGCGAAAAGGTGACAATTTCACAGCCCCTAAAAATACACTACTGTTAAAATATGTGGGCTCAGTAATACTCTTTTATAGAAATGAATACTTATTCAACAAGGAAGTATTAATCAAATTAATTGATCAAATGTGATAGTAAAAACATTCTTAAGGTTACAAAAGTTTTATATTTCAAATAAATGCTGTTTTAAACTTTTTATTCAAGTGCATCAAAGTTTCCACAAAAATATTAAGCAGCACAACTGTTTTCAACATTGCTAATAATATAAAATATGTCTTAAGCATCGAATCATCATATCAGAATGATTTCTGAAGGATCATGTGACACTGAAGACTGGACTTATGGCTAATGAATGTTCAGCTTTGCATCAGAGGAATAAATTACATTTGAAAATATATTTAAATAGAAAACATTACATTTTAATAATTTAATGTACATACACATACAATTGTAATATCTCACAATATTACTGTTCTTACTGTATTTTTGATCAAATAAATTGAGCATAAGAGATACAAATCTTATTGACCCCAAACTTTGTAGCAGTGGTGTATTTACATATTCATAAATTTTAAACTCAATTTTAAACTCAAAATATTGACTGAAAAACTGTCTGCTCTACTTCTGTACAAAATTCTGTACAAAAGAGAGTTCTCTACTCTTATGTTAGTTAGCATCATTAAATTAGCCATTTGTCTTTTGAAGATTTCAATATGATGCATAACATGTACAGTAACAGTTCCTATACTGTACTTTCACAGGGTTGTGAAGCTTGACAGCCCCCGATCACTATATGCTTTTGATATTTGAAATAGCGCAGAATGAACATTCAGGTAAAATGTCTTTGTTCTACAGAAGAACGAATATCATACATGTTTAGAATGACATACGGATGATCAAATGATGACCATTTTAATTTCTGGGTGAACTGTCCCTTTAATAAATGAACATGCAGGAGGTAAGGGATGTGTAAACCTTCTGCAGAGTTTTGTGTGGCCACAGATTCAGTTCAGGCCTGCTGATGATTAGTTGAAGCGCTTCGAGGCTGCACCTACCTCTTTCTTCTTCTTGGCTATTTTCCCTGCGTTGGAGTCTTTGCGACTTTCATCCAGAGCCATCTGGAGCCGTAGGTCATCCCCACGACGCATCCTATCCTCCTGAACAACCACACACAGACACAAAAGAATTCATGTTATATCACACACACATTATGGAGTACGTGCCGCCTGCTGAATCACACCGTGAACCTGCCGCCCTGCGTCCTATGACGATACAGCCCTGTTGTTGTGATTCACGATGATTCAGCATCAAAATTCAGTTACTGAGGCATGTAAAAAATCTGAAGATTACACAATTACACATTGGAGCAAAGACTCAGAATTGTGTTATCAAACCAAGAGACACACCCGACACACCGTTTCCTCAACGGATCTATTTCAAAGGGCAGAGTAGACAGGAAGGAAGCTAGAAATGTAAAATGTCAGTGGGAAGCAACCGAGGATAGGCTGTAATCTAGTCCCTATGTTAATTCGGTGGTAATTTTAAGTAACTTTGTATTTGGTTAGCCATATTCACAGCAATTAAAGCGAGAACAGAGATCAGCTGTAGGGTTCGACTTACAAATCAACACACTTGAGCAATTATTTTAATAAAATGTTGTTTCAATAAACACTCCAAGTGAAAATCTTCCAAAACTGGAAATTATCAGCAATCAAACATGGGTTAAATGAGACTGTAGTGCAAGCAAAGCCCCTATAAAAGAAAGCCATTTCACTTAATCAGTGAACATTTCTAATGTTGCTACATGCAGGACATTTTAGTGCAGGGCTGAAACATGAAAGATTTATGCAAGAGGCAAAGAGGACAGAGAAAGCAGAAAAAGCTGAGATGAGTGATGCTCTTTTACCGTTTCACCATAAGCCTCATTATATCAACGGTTAGAATGCTACGGTTCCCATAACCTCATAATGATCACAAATCTGGGACATCTGACTGTCTCATACAATGAAGCTCGCAGGAGCTCACAGAATGAATCACAATCCCTATGATAGACTCCTGACAGCTATACACTGAGAGGCAGGTTTAAGAGGGCTAATAGCGATACACAGAAATGTAGTAAGTCCCTACTATGCACCTCCCTTTCAGACAAGCCCCTCCTCAACAGCACTAACATGGCTGCTTTTTTTCCATTTGTAAATTAATCCCAGATGTCCAAGCGCACACACAGTTCCTTCTAGTGGTTCAACGGATCACAAATCTCAGATCGGTTCGGATCATATTACGGTTTTCGAGCCAAGGATCGGATTGTTTTTTTCGGATCACTTCAGCAAGAAAAAAAAAACTATGTAACTTTGCTTTCCATAAGTACGATACCACAGCAAAAACTCTAAGCCTAAGAAAGTTCAAACATTATTAAAGAGACAAGTAAACAGCCAGTAAAAATAAGAACAAATAGGCTACACAAATTACAAGCATAGATAAATGCAACAGAACAATGTTACAAATAAGGTCGGAAGTATTCAGATTCAGAAATGTAATAAGTGTAAAATAAAACTGCATAGTGTTCACTGTATATATATAAAAAAATAAAAAAAGATTAATCTTTGTCAAAAATGTGTTTTGTGGTTTGATGAGCATAATGACAGCAGCAGGTATTATTAGGCTGCTGCCCCTTTAAGATACACATCCAATTTCTTTCTCAGCTGTTCTCGTTCACTTAAGACACAACAGACTGCATTTGCCACAATGATTGTCGAGATCAGTATTTTGACAATTTTATGTGTATATGCGTCTGTTCAAAGGCAAGGCGTGAATGAGATATGAAAGATGGTTCAGTTCGGTGTTTGTGCGCAGTCAAACACGCCTCTCTGCGTGTGCGAGCTTCATGTTTGTGCGGCTGTGGTAGAAAACAGCGCGCGAGTAACGAATCGAGTTCCATTTCGCCTTTTTCTTTCGCTAGAATGGCTTAAAATCACTTGCGTGTGTAAACACCTACAATTGATAAACTTTCACTCTATTATGGTTAAATTTTGCAATTAATCTGCGGATCACATGCATGCCCAACCGTGGGGCTTGGTCTGTACGAATAACGGGTCAACTACGATCCGTTTAACCACTAGTTCCTTCACATTATTCTTAGAGCAGCGAGCCCCAAACATATTCAGAGACTTCAGGAACATTATATTTCCTACTGTATCAGCTGCCCCACTTCATCACTTTTATAAAACATGTAAGATGCGGTTTTAAATCCCACCGAGACAGTTGTGTGGTTGTATGGCTTCCACACTAATTTGTAAGCTTCCCAAACAATATCCTGTTGCTGGTCTGGCCCCATGTTGCAAGAAAAGGACAACTAGTTAAATCTGTGTAACATGTAATTGGAAACGAGCCAGCAGAAGGTCATATTTCCCATTTCTTGATTCCATGCCAATTTGAAATATAAGTACAGTGAAAGTGGCTTTCATGTGATGCAAATAGCCCTCAGCTTGCAATTAGAAATGAAACATTTTCCTAGAAACAGAGTAACCGTATCACCATTGACTAATTATACAGTGACCCGGTTAGTATGTGTAAAAGATGCCTGAGAGGCACACAGTAAGGTAAATCTGCATCTGGTAAGTCCACATACAAATGTGTTCATTCCTGAATCAGCTGTTCAAAGCTGTAACTATAAATAAATAAGTAAATCTAATTTTAGGCACCTTACTCTAACAATTTCCATTCCTGTGTCAGAAATATTTTTCCACATTTGATGTAGTAAATGAATATTTGATTATATTCACTGTGGCTAGATCTTTGCTAATAGGGAACCATTAGAGCAAGTCATTCTCTGAAATTGCTTGCTGATTGTCTGGGTGGTGGAACAATCCGGTTTTAACTATGGAGTGATGTTCATGCATATTAGGGCAAATTAAAAACAAGGCGAGAAAACAACCAGGATTAATAACTGAAATAATTCAGCAAAACCAGTCAATCAGACACAGCAAATGGAACCGTATGATTTGGCTAAAATAAAATCACAAACCAACAAATGCAGAGATGATGCACTGTTTTATATTAAAATCTTCTCCAAATATTAAGACTTGGAAAAACGGATGGCCTGAATAGGCCTCACACCATGATGTATGTTTGTAGGCCAAAACTTTGAAATTAATTAGCATTTTAGCACTTCTGGTTACATCACCCAAAAGTCAGTGGGTTACTTGAATGGGTTTTTGGTTAAATGCCTGAAATAAGTTCTGTGGTTAACATAAGCTCAAGATATTTTCATGTTTTCTTTTACAGTATACTATACACAAGTACTACCTCTGGTGACTCTTTTGAATCTTTCATATGTCTTGAAAAAGGCTGTTGCAAACGAGTGGCTAAATAGGTCTACAGAAATTGTCAGGGACAATAAATGTAATCTCGTCAAACGGGCAAACTCATATATTAGTTTTGGGGCGATATGGTCACTTTTCAAATCGTCATATCGCCAGCCCGTAAGATCGCCGACACACGATATTATCATACTTGTGTGCGTGGGTGGGGGCAAGAGAGAGACTGTACTTATCATAGGCTATTTCATAACTATGTGGCGTTTTAAACTATGAAAGCACCAATAATCGAAATAATATACTTTCAAACATACTGAAACTAACATGTTAAATATAATTTTTTTTTTAAAAACAGCTATTTCATATATATTCGGATACAACAGTCATACATCGCTATAAGGACCGCATGTCCTGTGACAAGTTTGCCGCATCAGAGCAAGAAAGTTATCAGTCTAAAAGGTCTGCAGTCAATGTTGAAAATCAAAAGTAGATTTATTTTAAAGACTAACAGTTTAACACTAAATATTGAACATAAACGAACAAGTTAAATATAAAGTATTTAAAACAGGTAAGTTAATATATTTGGAGTAAAGTTAAATTGCACGGATACATCAGTCATACAGCGCTCAGGACCGTGCGCCCCATGATGAGCCCGACACACCGCCACAGAAACAAGACTGAGATGCGTTCTAACATAACTGTGGCATTAAACTCAGTTAGTGAGGGCTCGGTTAAAATATTGCACATATATCGGCCGTTCAGATTACTTGTAAAAATGCAATGAAATACCTTATATCAGCAGACGATGTACATCTGTGTTTGTTGTTGGAGACTCCTTCACCGGCTACAAGCTCTAATCCTCATTTGCGCGAGCGTGAAATGTGGTGCTGAAGTGAAATAGCGGGGCAATTTGATAATAGCCAGATTATAATAGGCTGCCTAAAAATAATAATAATAATAATAAATTTAATACATTTATAGGAGAACAAGGCTAGTGTTTCGACCGATATATCGCCAAGGCCGATATATCGGCCGATATTTAGCATTTTTCAAATGTCGGCATCGGCCGATAAGTTTGTGTTTGGCCGATGCGTTCGCGGCGGGACTTTTATTTTGATAGCGCACACAGTGCTCACATTCTCCCTCATGTTCACCGTCGTCGTTAACAGTTCTGTCTAATATGGACAGAAGACTGTCTAATAATCAGATAGAAATGTTAAACAAAGGAATTAAAATGTATACAAATGTATTATATAGATTGCTTTTATATTATTAGTAATAGAAAGGCAAACATTATAATACTTTCTCGTTTGCCGTCAGCATTCAGCAAATATGCATTTACATAATTTAAACAAATCTTTGAATGGCTAATGAAAATTTAATTTCACAAACCTTGCAAACTTAGTCGAATCCAGTTGTGAGATCTTGTGAAGTGTGCATGTGACCTGTATGATCGCGTGTTCTCTGCTTGACTTTCGGACTGTGCAAATTGAATGCTTTAAACATTAAATTTGTGATATCAATTTATGCTGCGCTTTATGCAATTGCCCACTGTCACTGTCATTTCACTGTGTGCTGTATGTAAAATGAGCGTTACCTTGGCTTTATTTGAAAAAATATGATTCCCAATGCACACAAACGTCCCAGAATACGGAGTGCTGTTAGTAACAGTTTACTTCCTTTTTAATCACATTTTTATTAAATATTTATGAAAAATACTTTGTCATATAAAGTATAAGTATGTTTATTTTACAAATTAATTTTTTAATCAATTTTCAAATGATTTAAAATTTCTTAAATATTAACTAAAATAAATACAATTATATACAGAAGCACTGCAG